CAGTGGGCATCGGCTAGTTCCTCATGTGGTCTCCGTGACAGAGCATCTGCATCCTTGTTTTGACTGCCTGCACGATACTGCAATTTAAAATCATAAGTAGCTAAAGCAGCAAGCCACCGATGGCTGGCAGCGTCCAGCTTAGCAGATGTCAAGACATAAGTTAATGGATTGTTGTCCGTTACAACAATGAACTTGGATCCATAAAGATAATCATGGAATTTTTCACTCGCACTCCACTTTAAAGCCAAAAATTCCAGTTTATGAGCTGGATATCGTGATTCACTTAACGACAAGCCTCTGCTGGCATATGCAATGACCCGTAACTTCCCATCCTGCTCTTGATAAAGTGCAGCTCCGAGACCAGTGGTACTCGCATCGGTATGTAAGATGTAGGGTTGTTTGGGATTAGCAAACCCCAGAACTGGGGCTGTCGTTAGTTTGTCAACAAGGGTCTCAAACGCAGATTGACATTGTGGCGTCCATCTCTTGTTAAATGGCTGCTTCGAGTCATGGATCGGAATAGATGAAGTGGATTTGTGGGTTAGACGACGGGTTGGAGCATACCCCTTGGTCAAATCATTTAAGGGCTTGGCCACCGCAGCGTAACCATTGATGAACCTGCGGTAATAACCAGCAAATCCTAAGAATGACCTCAGTTCTTTCAGAGTTCTTGGAACTGGCCAGGATTTTAAGGCGTTCACCTTGTCAGGATCGGTCTCAACCCCGTCCTTTGAAACGATATGTCCGAGATAGCGCACTGAAGTTTGGAAAAACCTGCACTTCTCTGGGGACAGTTTCAAGCCAAAATCACGAAGACGTTGTAAGACTCAATAAGCGACGTTCATGTTCTTCTAAGGAGTCTGAAAAGATAATCAAATCATCAATAAACACTAAGACCTCCTTAAGATGTAAGTTTCCCATGCACTTCTCCATAAGACGTTGGAAAGTGGATGGGTGCATTGGTCACTCCCTGCGGCATTCTGTTGAATTCCCAAAATCCTACTGGGGTTACAAAAGCCGTTTTGGGTTTATCACTTTCTTCCATTTCGATCTGGTAATACCCAGATTTAAGATCAAGAACACTGAACCATTGAGAACCAGTAAGTGCCGAAAAAGACTCATCCACGTTTGGGAGTGCATAAGCATCTTTAATAGTCTGAAGGTTAAGCTTACGGTAATCAATACACAAACGGACATCTCCGTTCTTCTTCCGCACGACCACTATGGGTGAAGAGTAGGGTGATTCAGACTCTTGTATCACTCCAGCCTCCTGTAGATCTCTTAAGTGATTGCGGACTGCTTCAAGATCACGAGGGTGGATAGGTCGAGCTCTATGTTTGAATGGAGTTTCATCACTAAGGCGGATGTGATGTTTCACACGGTCTGTACATCCAAAGTCAAGATCGTGATGTGCAAATACCTCAGGAATCTCCTTGAGCTTGGAGATGACTCGCTCCTTCCACTCCGGTGGTATTGGAGATTCTCCAAATTGAAATTCCAGTTGGACATCACTGGTGGGCTTCTCTTCATCAACCACATGTTGAGACAATAACTGTGGTGACATAGAAAGTTCAGCAACCACACTCTTGGGTTGAAGTATAACACTGTGCTCTGACTCATTGGTGACAACAATGGGTAGCTTTTGTGGTGCTTTGCTGTGTATTGTGATGAGACAACTCTTCACACACAGACCTCCAGGCATTGGCATGGTTGGTTGTTCTACTAGAGCACAGTTGCCAGCTAGCGGTGTCTTGACCCAAACAGAACCCTCAACCACCATCTTGTGACCTGCAGGAACTATGACTGGAGATTGACTGTCCAATCGCACCATGCAGTCACTGGCAGCTTGAGCCTGCTGGTGTCTGAGCTGAAGCAACTGGAGAACTGCTCTGTAGCCATACAGCACAGGTATGTAACTGTGACACTCACTCTTAAGATGGTGTTCGTAGAGTGGCTCTAAAGTATTCATCCCGATGAGAATCTGAGATGGAAAACCAGAATTAAAATCTGGTACAACCAATGCCAATGTGCACACATCTAACTTGTCACCGATAAAATCTTCAGGGAATGTCATTGTTATTTCAATGTAGCCCAAGTAGGGTACTTCCTGTCCAGCTGCTCCCTCCACTTGTAATAATTCGCTCAACGGCTTGATTGGCTGATGAGTAAAATGTTCATTGTAGACAGAAACTGGAATGGTCGTTACTTGTGATCCGGTGTCCAATAAGCAATGAAACTTGTGGCCAGCGATGGTAACTCGGCCGGTGCATTTGGAACCAATAAGACCCTTTGGCAGATTGTTAGTGTCAGCTGGAATTACATGCGATTTCATCAGACATTTTACTTGCGTTTGCTTGGTGGGACGGTGTGGGTCCTCCGCAGTTCCCGTTTGCCCCTCAACAGGAACTCTGCTTAGTTTAAAGCACTGTGAGGGGTAGATCTCTGCCATTTTCTCTGCTTTTCTGCAAACTGTCTTTTCTTCAAAGAAACAAGTGAGGGATTAGAGTCATTATCACATGCTGGTCTAATATGTCCATCTTCACCGCAATTTCAACAATAGCCAGGTTTTGGCCCCGATTGCTGCGCTTTGTGAAGAGATTCGGAGGTGGACTTAGGTTTTGAGCTGTCATAACTAGACTTGCTGGTAGAAGACTGCTTCTGACCAGACTGTGCTCTGGTTAATGATGCTAACTGCTTTTGAATATCAGCTAGTTGTTGTGATAGCTGCTGCGTGATTGTGGTCAATTGATCAATTCTCGTATCGTCACTTTTAGTAGTGGATGCATACTGAACATGGGCTCCAACTCTAGCTTTTGATGAGCCTAGATGCTGCTTCATGCGTTGCGTCTTTGCAGCTTCTCTATCTGTCCTGAGTAGCAGTAAAAACTCTGCGAACGATGGTGGATGGGATTTACGCTGCTTTAACTGGAGTTCAGATATTAGCGTGTTGTCCCAGCAACCACGACAAAATTGATTAAGTAAGTGTCGATCAATGTCAACAGCTAACGCTCCCCCCCTTTTCACCGCTAAACTAAGTGCAACCTGCAACCGTTGCAAATAAGCAGATGGTTGTTCTCCATTATCCTGGAACAGCTCCATAAATTTTGCATACAGTTCGTCACCGTCTTGTACTGTTCCGTAGGCGGAATCAAGGATTTGAAAATACATTGTTGGTGGCGTTTCAGGTTTCAGGTGCTTCACCATGTCTGCGGCTGGTGGAAGAAGACTTTCGAATATCTTCCGAGAACGTTGAAGATCGGACACAGCCGGATCGTTTAAAAGAAGCGCTACTCCCGAATGCCAAGTTTCATAATCAGACTCATGCTGTGGTCTGGGTATACGACCTGAGAATGATCGGAGTCTCTGGGATGACAGATGAATGGCAGCATCATCACTTTTCATTATGTGCTCAACCACGTATCTCTGTACTCCAGGTGGATTCAGATCTGGAAGAGACATGGCTGGGAGAGACTGTTACTGGATCTGGAGCGAACATTGGGATCGGGAAGGATTGGTGGCACCTCCTCCTGTTCTACCCCTGCACAATCTGGTGAATGCCTGGTGGTGACATCACTAAACGTTTTCATAGATTTTGAGACTTCAGTTTCATTCAGGGGAGACTTGACTTGCGGATTGACACTTAGTGTGGATATAGATTGACCCAACAGAGACATAACACCCTGGAGGACTTCTGCATAATCCTGCCCAGTCTGTTGCGCAATATTTTTCAAATCATCAAGGTATGCATCGGTTTTGGATTTACCCTCTAACTTAGCACACACCATTGAAAGTCCAGAAATATCATAAGTTTCCATCCCACTATGACACACATAAGTGTATGGTAACAGTTTCCTTAATGCAATCAAAGCATCATTAGATTCAAATTCAATTATCATACATTCATAGAAAATACTCATCGGTTCAGAAATGACTTCATTTTTGGAAACTTTACCATAACCAGTCAAAAACTCAACTACTTCCTTATCTGTGTCATCGTTTGTAACGTATTTAACCAATACCAAATTTGGGATTTTTACGCCTCGGTTTTCCAAAATGTCCATTTTTGCACAATATGTCACTTTAAATATTCAATACACAGTCACTACTGTACGTACTCTCTCCTGGCTAGCTCGCCACTAATTATGTAGCACACATAAGCATGAGATCCCTACAGATCTAATGTAAGGAGCAGATCCAATATAATTAAGCTAGAATCAGAAGATCAAGGATTCGTTGTGGGAGAGAGTAGTCAGAGGCAACACGTTTGCTTTCACCATGTATTGAACCAATATTGCAATTTTGAATGGCCACTCAACGTTATGTACACTATTTACAGTATTTACAAATGCAAAAACAAGGAAATCACAAAACATTCACATTAGTCACATTACCCCACCCATAGTCCAAAAAAAACCCACGTTGGGAAAAAATGGTGAAAGGAGGAAGAGTATATTGTCTGACCCGTTCGTTGAGGGAATGTGGGGTGAAAATTTCTCTGGGCCACAGGAGCCCCCTACCCGCCCTGGGTTGAGCGACGGTTGTGATGCTGGGCTCCCCACGTCGGAGTAGGAGTAAAGTCTTTGGGTTCAGGCACGTATCTGGGTTAGCTCGCCATCGTTCTGGAGACCTGGCCTATACAAAGAACCGAAAGCTCCAATAAATGCTTTGCTCACTCACAAGGCATCGATCATTACACATGTGCATCAAAATTGTTAACTCTTTCAGTGCCAATGACGCATATTACGTCAATTCAAGATCTGTGCTTGTGTGCCATTGACGCATTTTATGCAATTGACGTGTTTTGGTGTATTCAGATCCAGACGCATCCATTCTATCATATATCTCTGATCGGGACTGTTTGACAGTATTTTATTCGGCCAGCAGATGTCAGTAGCCTCCTTTAGCTCTTCGATCAGGCATAAAAGGAACCGGAAGCCCAGATCTCATTGTGGGAGTAGGTTGGTTATAGTGAGCACAAGAGAGTAATCGGGAGAGCGAACATGAGCAGAAAGCGGCAGCTAACGATGGAGGAGGCGTTTGGTGCTGGTGGTACCATCAGAAGGTCGGTGGGTGATGGCCATGAGGAAGGTGGAGGTGATCTGCCTCTGCCTTCAGTTGGCAAAAAGCCTGAGGCTACGGCTAAAGCTAAGTCTAAAGCTAAGTCTAAACATCTGGCCGTTGGCGGGAGTCCTTGCCGCGCACGTCGCTCCAGAGCCGCCGCACGCAGTTCCAGTGGTCCACGTCGCTCCAGAGAAAGTTCCTCGTCGGATACAGGCTCTTCAGAGCTATGGGAACCTGAAGCTGACCCAAACAGCAGTGACTCATCCCCCGATTCCCCCAGAGCAACCGGCAGAGCAGGTAATGCATACATTATACATATGTATTTAGCAATGAAATAAAAGTATTCTTGTATAATTCTCATGATTGTATTTGTGTGTATTTCTAGTAAGCAGAGTGCTGGGCCAATCCAGGAGTACTAATGCTGGTAAAAGGAGGCCTACAGGTAAATAAAATACTCATATGTATGTATATATGCATGTGTGTGTATATGTATGTGTATAATATGTATGTAGTGTGTAGTGTGTGTGTGCGTGTGTCTCTGTGCGTGTGTCTCTGTGCATGTGTGTCTGTGTGTCTTTGGATATGTGCGTCTGTAGATGTATATGTATTTGGATATATGTGTGTATATGGATAGATGAGTTATTGTACAATTCTATACAGGCGCTACATTGAGCAGAGGCGCTGCCAGCGTGAGTCCTGCAAATACAGGTGTGAAGAAAAGAGGTAGGAATATCTTTCTCTACATCACATCAAAACAATAAAACGAGCTCTATTTGATTCCTATTTATTGTATACATTTCCATAATTTATTACAGTTGCAAAGGGTAAAGGCGGCACCTGGCGGAAATCCGGATGGAAACCCACTGTGTTCCCCTTCACTGCAACGCCTGGTCCCCTGAACGCGGCAGCAGAGCTGGAGTCCACCTCGCCTGCTGACTTCCTGGAGCTGTTCCTCACGGACGAGCTGCTCCAGCACATCACAGAGCAGACCAACCTCTATGCTCAACAGCATTTCCTGGCAAACCCAGAGATTCCGCAACACAGCAGAAAGCGTGCATGGAGACCAGTGACCATTCCAGAGCTAAAAAAGTTCTTTGCGTTGTCTTTCCTCACTGGTGTTATCCACAAGCCAACCCTGGCAATGTATTGGAACGTGGATGAGATGTTTGTGACCCCGTTCTTCACTAAAATAATGTCCAGGAACCGGTTCCAACTCATATGGAGGTTCCTGCATTACAATGACAACTCTGCAATTGATGTAACTGACAGGTTATACAAGGTTCGCCCCGTCTACGACTACCTGATAAATAAATTCAAGGTAATGTTCCAACCCGGGCAGAATATTTGTATAGATGAGGGGATGTTGCTCTGGAGAGGACGGCTGGCCTTCAAGGTCTACAACCCACAGAAGCCCATAAAGTATGGGATAAAGTCCTATGTGCTCTGCGACTCTGCCACCGGCTACTGCTTTAACCTGCAGCCCTATGTTGGTGAGCCTCGCACGATCCCTGACATTGTTTTTTCTCTGCTTGACCGTCTCCCAGGTGCCGGCCACACTCTGTTTATGGACAATTATTATAATTCTGTGGCATTGTCTGAGCAGTTGATGGCAGTAAAAACAAATGTGTGTGGGACGCTAAGGAAGAACCGGGGAGAGCCTGAGAGCATTAGGGACGTGACCAAGACTGAGCTGAGTGTGGGGGGGAGAGTCGCGGTGAACAATGGGAAGGTCATGGTTCTGGCGTGGCGGGACAAACGGATTGTCAAGATGTTGACAACATGTCACCATGACAACATGACGAGTGTCGACGTTTGGCAGCGAGGACAGAGGGAGAAGGTGTCTGTCCTAAAACCGGAGTGTGTCGATGCCTATAACTCCTCCATGAATGGCGTGGATCGATTAGATCAGAACATTAAATATTACCCGTTCGTCCGGAAGTCTCTGAACTGGACCAAAAAATTTGTAGCTTACCTGTTCCAAATCTCAATGTACAATGCCCACACTCTCTACAGAGCCAGGAACGGGAACCGGGAATACAAAACCCTCCTGGAATTCATGCAGGGGGTCATGAGGTCCTGGACATTGAAGGTCCAGGATGAGGACGAGGAGGACATCGAGGACGAGGAGGACGAGGAGGACGAGGAGGACGAGGAGGACGAGGAGGACGAGGAGGACATTGAGGACAAGGAGGACGAGGAGGACCACAACGAGGAGAACGAGTCAATCGTTGCATGTGTGGAGGAAGGAGCACCACGAAACCCCAGGGCTCCATATAACACGGATCCAGAGAGCAGGCTCGATGAGGGTGCCAGGCACAAAGTGGAGTACCTGCTGTCCTCCAGCTCGAAGACCAGACCCTCGAGGAGATGCAGGGTCTGCATGCGCAAAGGCCTGCGCAGTGAGACCAGGATGTGGTGCAAGGCATGTGGTGTCCCCTTACACAAAGGAGAGTGCTTCACAAAATATCACACACAACAAGATTACACTATATAGACAGAGACACATGCACGCACACATGCACGCACACATGCACGCACACATGCACGCACACACGCACGCACACACGCACACTCTCAGCCAATCAGCACTTTATGTATATAGTTATTTGTTTGTAATTTATGTTTGTACATTTCTTATTCTGTGTTCTGAGTATTATTCTGTGTTCTGAGTATTATTTTGCTATCAAAAGCACTTTATTTTGAGTCATTTCCCTTATTTTATACATGGGAAGAATGTTCTGTTGTGTGAGAAATGACTAAAGTAAAAAAAAACTTTTCAAAGTCACTTTTCTGCATTGTTTGCTTATTTTCACAAACACCTCATTTTCTCAGCTTTATGTCGGAAACTGATGATTTCTGTGAAAAGTTTACCTTACTCCAATGGTGATTACAGAAGAACTAAAGCCGATAGAAACACACTTATTTTTTCTGAGTAAACTAGAGGGTCCAATCTTTCAGAATATGGTCTCAGATTTAGGCTAGTCATAGCAGAACATATTCTATGGGTCTTTAAAAGTCGGTGAAAATCAGCAAAACGGCTGGCACTGGAGGAGTGATGTTCTGAAAATGTCTGGCACTGAAAGAGTTAATAGAGCTAATGAATTAGGATGGTACAGCGCGCTAAATATAATTCATAACTCTATATATTACACTCAGAATGAAAGTGCAATAATACAATCAAATTCTTAATTGTGAATGTTACACATAACACAATAATCCAATGTATGTAAAATATATTACATAAATATCAATTTCTATAACCAAACATGAATGGCTCTGCATCTTCAATAAACAAGCAGTAATGATGGCTGTTTATGCAGAGTTAGCATAAGTTCAATAAATAAGTATAGTGGTACATTAACTATGAATAACTGTACACAGTAGAAAAGATGGTTCAAACAGTCAATGAGTATAGTCATGTCAATATAAAATAGCATCTTGGGAAACCAAGGCATCTTATGAATAAAATCATTAGGCTAACCGCTCCCCATGTAAACGAATGGGAGCGGCTAAGCTAGCGGAATGTAATGCAACTCTATGAAGCTATGCTAAAAACATTTAGCTTACCGGCTCCTCAATTGTCTCGCACCCACAACCCTAAATGAACAGGATAGCGGACGAGTAGACGACAGCCCCTACGAGTTAAGTAACACATGTAAGCAACTGGAATATTTCTGTGATTAAAAGCAAATAGTTATGAAACCAGACCTGCAGCTCAGCTTTCCTCTGGCGTCCCCACCTCTCACTCTGCTACTCACTGATTACCGCACCTGTAGTTGAATGCAGCGCGCGAGGCAACTCGAACGTGTGACGTCATCGCGCAAGTGCGAGGCTCAGTGCAATGCAATACTTTTTTTTAATCCACACTACTACTACTAATAATAATAAACCAGATTTGACAGCTGGGTTACATACAGTACATAACTCTGGACTACTACATGTATATATTATTTGACTTAGGGCTGGGCAATAAATCGAATTTTGGCAATTGATTGGCTTTTGAAAAAAATCCAATTTGTGAAAAGTGTTAAAATCGTGAAATCGAATGAAGGAGTGAGAGTTCCAGCAGCACATTAATCATATTTGCAATATCAGCACAGTCTGTACAAGACTTTTATAATACATATTGAGGGAAACAAATTAGAAATAGTTTTGAAACTTGAATATTGAGCGGAAAGATCAAAACATATTTTTATGGGCCTTAATAAAAAAATATTAAAAATCTAAATCGTCAAAAGCAGGAAATAAAATCGAGATTTCACTTTTTCGCCATATCGCCCAGCCCTATTTTGACTGGTACTAAAGCATTTCCAGCATCTACAGCCAGTTTTGCAAGTTAAGAAACATAGCTACTACGTCATTTGTATATTTTGTGTGCTCCCTGTGTGCTCTTTCTACTGTCCTATATGTGCGCTGCAACAACAAAATTTCCCCACTGTGGGACGAATAAAGGAGCTCTTATCTTATCTTATAAAATTCTGAGTGTGCTGGGGGGGTTTGTAAATGATCACATAGTGTATGGAAGGAGATCTTTTCTGTTCCACTTTGAATTACACATACTAAAATTATGAAAAAACCCCAAAATGACATTAGCTGGGTAACCATAATATTCCTAAACAAAGCACACACACCTCCACCTTTTTTACTTTCACGTGCTTCAAATTCAAATGTGTTATTGGGTGAAGCAGATTCTATTAGGACTGTGTTACCCGTATCTATGTCAAGCCACGCTTCAGTCAAAAACATAAAATCAAAAGTCTTTGATTAAAAATTATTTGTTACAAAGTGATCTAACATTAAGAATAGAAAGCTTCAGATCACTTTCTGTGGAACTTGACAATACATGTGTACAGGGGATGTTAATCAAGTTCCTTTGATTTGGCGTTCTAACAGTTTTCCTGGTATTCAATCTTGGTACATTCTTTACACAGGGAATGTTATTTCCCAGTGGTCGATATGCGGTGCCTTGCAATGGTGCATCACCATTGAGAAGATAGGGGTCACTGTTCGTGTTGTTGTACTCACTCGGTGAAGAGAAAGTAGAGAGGGGCGGTGAAGGTGGGGGCTGTAATGTAAACAGTCAGTTGTTTCTTGGGGTCGCAGGTAGTCCACAAATAATCTGGTACCAAATTTGTTTGGATGCAGACCATCAGGGCGGTATGCATTGTGACATCTACAGAAAAGGCCAAAATTATCCACAAATACAAAGTTAAAAGAGCTGCTTACTGTTTGCAGCCATACATTTAGTGCCACAGTTCTCCTGAAGAAGCAGTCACCTCGATTGAAAGCCAGGATTGTAAAGATGGTGCCGTCTGGTGCACACTGGGTAAGTAATCAAGTAATCTTTATTCATATACCACCTTTCACAGACCAGAGTCACAAAGCAGTTTACAATTGTTATTTTTGGGCACTTGTCCTCTCACTCCACACAGAGATGGAACCTACGCAGACACAGGGAGAACATGCAAACTCCACTCAGAAAGGCCCTGGTCCGACCGGGATTCGAACCCAGGACCTTCTTGCTGAAAGGCGAGAGTGCTATCCACTCAGCCACCGTGCCGCCCAGTAGTAGTCTTGCACATTTTTTCCAATGTGGTTTTACTGCAAATGGCAAATAAATGAATCTGAATCTGGGATTGGACCAGAGACAAAAACATGCATTCCAGTTGATCGAAAGAGGCAAAATTATTCCAGGAAATGTTTTTTTGCTATCTCTGACTGCTGCAATTTTATGTAATTAATTCCCACGTGCACAATCAACATGGATATTGTGTCGGGAAAAGTTTTCATCAGTGAAGGGAGCCGTATAGATATATAGTAGATCTGGGACAGTGGCACCAGGGATGCAGTAAGTGACCACATTGAAGAACCGGACGTGTCTAATAATAGTCTCCGATAATTAGAGTTGTCGGGGGAAAGAGTGGACGAAATACAGAGCGATGGTGGCCGGACAGAGCCAACAGACGCATTCCCTACTGGACCCAGAGAAGAGCGCGCGTGCTCAGCTGCTGCTCCGGGCTGGCAGCTCTGTGCACCCGGTGCAAGAGCGAGATCTGGAAGTTTCGGACCCGATTGAGGGACAGCAGACACGTGAACTGGCTGTAGCGTGTGACCTGTGTTGTGTTCCCAGAGGGGCTGGAGCAGCTCGAGGAGTTGGATCAGAGCGCCGCTGTTGACGCACTGCTCCACGTCCGGGGTGCTGTGGCTGGTCAAGTGGGGGGTCGTCCTGTGGTCCATACACTCAGTGTATGGACCACAGCGCAAGAAGGTTCCTCACTGCCTATGATCCCGTTCTTCGGAACCGGAGGTTTTGGTGTTTAACACAAAGATGGTCCGGGGCAGCTAGACCCGTCCCAAATCACAGTTTGGACAGGATTTGCGTATGTTGACGGCCAGCAACGTCCATGAGTTTGGATATCAGAGCCTGCTTTTCCTGTAACTCTGCCGTGAGACGCAGGACTTCTTTTCTGAGACTTGCCATAGATGTTTTTTCTTTCTCCCGAAGTTCCAGGGTGAGTTGAATAATTTCTTCTTTGGAGTTCTTCACAGTAATTGCATTGTCGTGTTCCATTGTATTTTTAGTAAGAATGGTCTTGTGGTAGCTTCGTATTAGCCTTCCCAGAGCTAATTGTGAATCAAATCATATGTTTGGTTTTGGTGAAGCACTTTGGGTATAACCTTGATTTTACATTGTGCTATACAGAAAACGTTGAATTAAAAATGAAAGGTTAAAAGTCCATAAAAAAAGTTAAAAACCAATGTTTGAAACTGAATGCACGCACGCATGTCCTCTCTGTCCTTTCTACTATTAAATAAAATAAGCCTAACAAGTAGGCCTTCTCCTCACACCCGACAAAGTAAATGCTGTCTTGATACAGTTTAATGTAAGTAGATTATTTGAAAACAAAACTTAACGTCAACAAATGTAGATGCATCAATTTCATTTAGCTCATAGCTGGTACAGAATGCCACTGCCGATGCGTGTCAGGTGGCTGACCAGGGTGTCGACCAGGCGAGCAGGGTAAAGTATACTGACTCTTACACCTTGCTTCTTCAGCTCCTGAATAATCTCGTTGTACTCAGCCCGTTGTCTCCGAACCTTCAATGTCAGATCCTGGCGAATATAGAAGGGCTGAGGAGTGATCCCTTCTCCATAGCAGCCATCAGCAGCGTTACAGTAGTTTGTCTCTCCATCTCAGCAGGCGCACTACAACCATGCACGGGAGTCCTCTGGGTTCGGTCGTGGGCGTAGAGCTCTGTGAGCCCTTTCCACCTCAGGAGTTGTATCGCCCTCGTCTACTGTAGGTCCAGAATATAGCGGAACAACCGATCCAGTACTCCCATCAGATTGTCTACCTCCATGCCTTCTTTTAGGCCCATTTTTTAAAATATTGCTCATTCTGCTGCGCGCCTCCGGAATATCAACTTTAATACCAAGTGTTGACATTTGTTAGCGTTTGCACTGTGCGATTCTCAATATACTGCAATATACAATCTCAACACTAGATGGCACTAAAAATACACATTGTACCGTTAACAACCCGGTTATTGTTTTTGTCCCATTTCAGGTCGTTAGACAGAGTTAGACCAAGAAACTTGCACTCCTTTCTTACAATCTGCACATGGGAGTTATCAATAACAACAGGAATGTGAGAACTGTTACGACTAAAGTCAAAGACTAGTTCCCCTTTTTTCGATGCATTCAGCTGGAGGTTGTTAGCTTTCCTCCACTGAACCACACTTTTGCGTATTTCACAAGAATTGTCCAGGGGCCACAACGAATTGTAAAACTGTTTCGACTAGATTTAATCTGATCTGAGCTTTAAAATTAATTATGACATCATGATTCACATTTGGATCTGAAGTTGGATGGCAAATGTTTAACAAGATTAGTGTCATACATTTTTTTCTGACTCAATCATAACAGTTGTTTGTTTATCACGGAGGTTACGTTCTAAAAAAACCCCACAATAAACACAATCTGCAAAGTAGCAGCTGTATGTGAGCTCCATATTAACATAATCTGTGCTGTGTGATTAAGTTTTTGCACTTTCCCTACCGCTTGAATCACGGAGATACCAAACCTGTTGGTTGTAGGTCTGAGCACTGCTGCAGCTGTCAAAAGCCGTGCATCATGTAAAATACAGTTGCTGGGAGACATGAGCAGGACTGAGGGCTACGGGAAGACCGTGGTAGTCTTAAAGGTAAGGCCTGGACTCCACCGGGCGCGTCTCCGTTGACGCGCGTTGGCTGCTGTCCGTCAGCCGTCCGTAAAACGGACTAGTGGTCAAACCGGCTGCAGCAGCGCGCAACTCAGGCTGTGCGTTTATCAGCCTGCTTTGTTTTTGTAGGAGACATGTTTGGGCATTGTGTGAATGAATGAATGTTTGGCTGATGGAGGAGTTATGTATTGTCGGCGTGCATGTGTGCGTGAGCGTGTGCATGAGACCGTCCGCGTGTGTGTGTGTGTGTGTGTTACGTGGTGGGGCCCGAACACCGGACCCCACTGGTCCAAGCTTAATAATCAATGGGTAATGCTTTTCTAACGGTCCTTATGCAGTCTCTGTAAAAATATGGAAAGGACCCCTGGAGGTTTACTTTCCTGAAAAAAGTGTGTTATGTGTCGAAACCCTGGTGGTGGGTTGCGGAATATCAAGGAGGGGCACACTGGGGCAATTTCAGTCCAGCAGGCTGGAGCCAATCATGGAGCAGCACAACAGAGGAAATCAGGTGTCAGGCTAGAAAAGGTGCAAGTGTGTGGTTCATTAGGCTGCAAGAAATCATGGAGGAGCACACTGAAGCGCACGCTTACAAACCACTGGTAAGTGCTGACTACAAGTCATGACTTCAAATTGTTATATAGGATTATTACAAATTATTTGTTGTTTGTGCAGCTTAGTCAAGAGTCCCTAATTGATGAAGTCGACTCAGATTCTGACGATTTAACTGTCAAGAAGAAACCTGTAAAAAAGTATGGAAAAAGAAAAATCAAAGACACTTTTCTACAAGACTCGGAAAGTGACGAACCAAAGGCAAATAAGATTGTTATCATGCAGCTGCAAAAGAAGAAAAATGGGGGGCGAGTTTACAGCAAGAGACACTTCTGCCTCTACTGTTCAATGTCCTGCCACAAACTGTCCCGTCATTTGACTAGAAAACATGGAAATGAAAGTGACGTAGCCAGAGCATTGGCTCTACCTGTGAAATCTAAAGCACGTAAACTTCAGTTTGATTTGATCAGGAATAGTGGAAACCGTGAGCACAATTTTGAGGTTTTAAAGGCCGGCATTGGAACTTTAGTCCCAGCTAAACAGCCAAATTCCCCAGTTAAATCCAGTGAGTTTTTGCTCTGTATAGACTGTGGGGCATTGCTTAAGCGAAAGTCGCTGTGGAGGCATGTGGCCAGGTGCCGGCTTTCACAGAAAGATGCCCAGGCTAAACCAGGTAGAAGTAGGGTCCAGTCCCTCTGCTCCCTAGCCCAGCCTGTACCGGAGGGCATCTGCAAAAAGCTGTGGTCTTTAATTTCGGCAATGCATCAGGATGAGGTCACGGGTGTTGTCAAAGCAGAAAAGGGGATTCTGAGACTCACTGCCTGGCCTGCATTAATGCCTCACCAGATGACCTTAGACATCGGACATGGAGTGGCATTAAATTCTATGTCAAAAATAGAATCACTGCAATTCGAAAAAAAAATCTAAAATAAAATTCCTTTAAAAGAGTTGTTTGTTTTCTATTGACTGTTTTGTATTACTTAAAGTAGTCCCAGTAAAAAAAGATTATGTCTATGGGTCCCATTCTGAACGGCCCTGTCAAAGGGACCCACCAGGTAACGTGTGTGTGTGTGTGTGTGTGTGTGTGTGTGTGTGTGTGTGTGTGTGTGTGTGTGTGTGTGTGTGTGTGTGTGTGTGTGTGTGTGTGTGTGTGTTATTATGATGAATCATGAGCCAGCCTCTTCGTTTGTTTTCTACTTATTTAGCGCGTCATACACTTTTATCGGACCCAACTCGCCTCTCCGCGGCTTTAAGAAACAGGCAGCCGCTATAGTTTTAAATAGAAGAAGCGGTGTGTGATGTGCATGAGCTGTGGCTATGATCAATGCAAAGCACAGCATATTGAAGCATTGAGGACGTCGCGATGGATGAGGCAAAACTTATTGAAAGCAATTGGAAAAAGGGGAGAGAGAAAAGAGAAAAGAACTCCAACATATCCAGTGTTGTGAGATCTGTCTCTCATAAGTGCAGCTCTGTGTGAATGTGAGTGTGTGTGTGTGGGAGCGCGCGGCGGTGAGGAGAGAGCGCCTCGCAGGTAGACGGGACAGAGCGAGAGAAAAAAGAGCGAGGTGTATGTAAAGTTTAGCGTATTAACATTACGCAAAAAACAAATGGTAGATTTACAATCAGGAAACAATTATTTAAATTAATACATGAAAAACATTACACACGTTTGTTAATAATCATTGTCATTAACAAATATTTCTAACCAAGGACTACAGCATATATCAATACATGTTTAACAATGTATTTTCAATGGAAAACGGACCCGACACGCGTCGACGGACGGAACAAATAGGATTGTTTCTATTTCGTCCGCCCGCGTCCGTTGCACCCTCCGTTGACGGAATACGTCCGACGTGCGTTGGACGGACGCATGCGGAGGCAGTGGAGCCACTTCCATTCACCCTCATGGAGATAACGGAGACGGAGATGAAACGGACATGTTTGGACGGATCCGTCGTCCGTTTTACGCGCCCGGTGGAGTCGGGGCCTAACTGTCATGTTATACTAGCTGTCATATGGCGTTGTATATGATGTTGTTGGAGTATGCACTGTAATAAAGCATGCATAATAACACATTGAGGCTGCGAAATGTGAGGGACCACTGTAGGCGGAGGTGTAGTTGGCTGGATGATACTGTGAACTTTGACCACCGGCCTTTGTTTGGACATGCCTGGTCTAGACTTTATTACAATAAAGGGTTTATAAGGGCACTAATTATATTGTTCTCTTTCATAGGACGAAGGGGGATTTTGAGCCAAACGTGCAATTCCTGATCTTAGTGTAGGTGAAGCTAGAAACAACTCCCAGTCTCTTGTGTTGAAATATAAC